GCGGGCGGGAGCCCGACCGTCCCGAGGGCGGGGGAGCGCAGGAGGGAGGGGACGAGAGGGCGAGGGGGTGGAGGAGCCGGGGGAGAGGCGCTGCTGCCCGACGCGGGGCGCGCGCGCGCCCGGGCCACGCACCCCAGCTGTTCTCACGCGCCACACGGCCACCCTGGGACTCGAGCCAACGCCGCGCGCGGAATTTCGGGGCGCGCGTGCAGCCGAGCACCCCAGGGGCCGCGACGGAAACGGGAGGTGGAAGCGTGGAAGTGAGTTCTAGTCCCGTAACCCCCGCCGCACGCCTGCGCCCCAGCCTGGCGCTCGCGCCTCCGCGGGCGGGACCCCATTTGCAGGGTCCCTGCCCTACGCGCAGCGCCCTGGGCTTCACCGCCCGCGCGCCGGGAATTCCTGGGCAACCGCGTCCCCCGCTGGGAGATGCCGCCGCTTTCCGGGCTGCGGCGGGGAACCCGCCAGGATTCGCTGCCCAACTTGGGACGGCTTTGCTGCGGCGCTTTTGGAGACTATTTGTTGTGATGGTGGTTCTGACTGATCTATTCAAGAGCGAAGGGATGGGTTCATCAGAGCCACGCTGAGCTCTTACGCCACTACTCGAGCTGCTTTCTGCTGGAAACTCTCGGTCGCGCTAAACGTGAGGCCGAATTTGTTTTTCCTTCTGGGAAGCCCCGGGAATGTGCCGGGGAGGGTGAGCGCACACGCACACCCGCGCTCGGAGCCGGGCAGAAGGGGCAGCGTCTGGACACCGGCACGTGACTGACTGTCCAGTTGTCCTCTCTCGCCCAGGATCCCCTTGGCAGGAAGGATTAGCTAACAGCTCGCCTCAGCTTACTCGGAGCTGCCGGGACTGAAGGGCCGACCCCAATGAATGATTAATGGTGAGCGCGCTGGATTTCAGGAAACCTGAGAACCCGGGGTTTCCGCGTATGCAAGGCCCCTACTGTCGTTTACCCCAGAAAGATACCTGACTTGCATTCTTGGAATATTCCTGTCTGAAAACATATCTGAAGCTTTAAACTATGCTCTGCTACATTATTCATTGGTCATTTTAATGAAAAGGTCAATTCACAGAAGCCAAGGTTGAAGCTAAGATACGGCATTACCGGTGGAGTACCGCTTAAGGATTCCTATTTCCGTAATGAAAAGCACATAAAAAGCACGTAGGTTTTTCAGGATTGGAAGCCTTCCCCGGCTGGAATACATAACATCAAGGCGGCTGGAAAGCCCAGTCACCTTGACAACTTAGTGGAGCCACTGTGGAGGAAAAGGAACACATCACAGGTGGAGGTGCAGAGCTGGGCACCATGCCCCTGACACTATAAGATGCTGCCTGGGCTGAACGCCCTCCTCTTCCCACTGCTGGGGGCTCGAGCTCTATGCTTCTGGCTTAACTAGCAAGTAGGCAGACCCTTCCTAAGCAATTCTGGACAAGGACCTTGGAAACAGACACGGGTCCCTCAGGACGGCCCAGTTGACCTTTTCCAGGGTGAATACTTGTGAGGTCCTGAGCCTGAACACTGTGCCTTCTGCAAGTGATGCCCTTGGGTGTGTGACAAAGCTGTCACGGTTTAAGGCCTGATGGCGCTGCCAAATGCCATCAGTAAGCTCCCCGTGGGGTCACTCAGTCTACCACTGATGCCTCAAGTAGCAAAGGTTTTCCAAAGCATATCTAGTTGCTTGTCCTCCCACCCCCTCATCTGCTGAAAGAGCAGGAGAGTGGATCCTGCCCCAGATGTACTATCAGGCCCCTCCCCAAACCCAGGAGGGCAAGACCACTCTGCGGCCAAGCTTCTGGGGCTGAGATTCCGCCTCTTCTTTCTTCTTTATTTCAGCTTTCAAGCCCCATCGCCGCTGAAACCACCATTCTTGTATCTCTCCACCCTGCAAGATCCAGTTGGGGGTCAGACTTTTGTCTAGCGATGACCCAGGAGAGCCAGACACCTGCTAGGGCTTTAGTCCATCTCAACCTGAAGGGTGGCGAGGGCACTCCGACCTCCTCCGGGGTCCCGGGGTGAGACTTTAGGAGGAGCTGGGCGCTTGCTGAGCGAAAGAAGTGACCGTTCTTGTGGGCGGAGACTGAGCGCGGCAAACCGGACCCCAGGTCCCTTCTCAACTCTCCTTAAATACTACGGGGTTAGAGAATGTGCTCTCTTACAACCGAATTGGCACGACATTTTAAAAATCTATAACAAGAGTGTTAGGTATTTGGGTCATAAAAAAAGAGAGAGAGAGAGACCGCAAACGCTGAGCTGTGAAAGACGACACCGCGTGTTCCACGTGCTGACCGCGAAGCCGGGTCCCGCGCAGCTCCGCAGAGCAACCGGTGGCCCTGCGCTCGGGGCAGCGCGCCCCCGCCGGCGCCCTGCCCAACCCCGCGCGCCCTCCGTCTCCCGGGAGCCCCTGTCGGGAAAGTCTGCGGTCGGAAAAGCTCTCACTTCACCGTCTGGCTACTGCGGGCTCTACTCCCGTAAACTCCACTCCGCAGAGAGTGCGAGCCCGCGCCCGGTTTCCCGCGGGGTAATCGAAAGCCGCCGCCGCAGACCCCGCCCGGTCCGTTCCCGGGCGCGGAGCCTAGTGCAAGGCCCCCGGGCTTGGCGGGTGCGCGGCGCCGGCCATCCCCAGGTTCTCCCAGCCCGGACGCGAGGTCGGTTAGGAGGGTGCACGCGCCTGGCTACCTGCAGAGAGAAAAGGAACGGTCCTCAGAGACCAGTTCTCGAGCATCGCCAAGCGGCAAGGGACCAC